GGGGAGGGGGAAGGGGGAAGAGGGGCCCTCGACCGTCTGCGCGACCTCCTCTGGCGTTGTACTCGCCCTTCCAGCGCCAGAGCTGCCCGCCGGGGGTAGCCTGCCCGGAGGGCAGAGATAGGCCCGCTAGTACTGAGATGCCAGAGGCTCAAGCCGTTTTTACAACGTCGATGAAATACAAATAGCAGCAGCATTTGTTGGCATTTTGATTACAACTTCTCCTCAACCCTTATCAGTTAATGGAAAATAAGGCCTGAAGAGCTGAAAAATGTCAATCTATTTTATGCAGTGAGAAGCAGGCTAAATCCAAGCCATTAGTTAAATGCCACATTTCCAAGGGCACAAACTCCCTTTTGATGCTGCTTGTTCTATGGGACTTGTTCCTCCAGCTGCAGCACAATCAGTCCCCAAAGCCAGTTCTTAGGGCATCTTTTCAATTCTGCCCTCCACACAAAATGATCTAGTGATATGGTTAAGTCTAAATTACAAATTTAATGTTCAGTTTTAAAATCCTTAGTTTTGTTTGTTAAATGTACTTTAAATTGTTTCCCAGGAGCAACTGTTCAACTGTAGGAGATTCAGATCCTTCCCCCCTCCCCTTGTTACTTCTTGTTCTCTCAGCCACATGGACCACAACCGAAATGCCCTCCCCAGCACTTCTACCTGGGACCCTGCTTAGAACAGAGTACTACTGCTCTCCCCGGAGCACTGTGCCTGGTGGAAACATGCAGCAACCACAGATAAAGCTTGTTTTAACCACGTTTCAGCATGATCCTCTTCAGCAGTTTGTACTGGACACATGGGATTACCATCCATGCAGCTGCACATTAGTGCCTTCAAGGCAGAGAAATTGAAAGGGCTGCTGTCAAAAGAATTTCCTTACACATACCAGCTAAATTAATTCTTCCACATCAAGAATGAAAAATAATTTTCAAATACAATCACTGCTCTAGATAACATGGAAAAAAAAATCCTTCAATTATAACTCCGTTACTGGAAAGATCCAAATATTCACATTTCCTAAATTTGCAATCCTATTATGTCACCCCACACTCTACATCAGTTTCTCAGAAGACAGGAGCTTCAGCAAAAAAGTTCCCATGGATGAGACTCCTTCCAATTGTTCTCCTCTCTGTGCTACTGCAGTTGTGTTAGAGCCACTCTTCATAGAGCCTGTCAACCAGGCAGCTGATTAATCCATGGTATTTTGATTACTTTTGAGAAGGAAAAAGGGATGGCAGACGGGAGGCTCACAGCACCGCCCCACAGGCAGGGGTGCCAGCACAGCCAAAGAGTGCAGTGTGGCAAAGCCAGGGACAGAGATTCCAAAATGGAGATTGTTGGCCAAAGTCCCCAGACCATGAAATCGTGCCCTTGAACACCTACTCAGCCTTCTTCATCTTCATCCAGCTCTAGGGTTATGGTTTTCCTTCTTAAAGAAGGCTTCCGGTAAGAACCAAGAGCCACATACTACCATTCAATATTTACAGGCTGAAAATCTTTCAAATGAAGAGTGGGGTAAGACATGCTCTGAACCCAGGCTTGTGAAGGGTAGAGAAAATCCCTTTAGTCCTTTCTGGGCAATTCCTACATATAAAGTTGATGAGTGGGCCTTTGTCCCACATGGCAGGTAACCAGCTTAGAGTTAAGTCATACCAGATAGGCCTTGAGTTTTTTAGATTAAAAGAAAAAACAACTGATCACAACAAAGTACTATCTAGAGAGTTTTGCAAGTGTAAGTTACCATGCAAGCTCTCCCCTCAAAGAGCAACTCACTTGGTGATGCTTTTCAGGGAACACAGACTAGCAGCCAAGAATTATGATCAGACCACACCGCTCCTGGCCCACAGTACCACAAACAGGAAACTGGATTAGAATCTTTTCTTTCAATTGGGAAAGTCTGAGGAGTAGAAAGGAGGGCAAGACAGAGCCCAGACTTCTCTAGACTAACCCAGCGATACTGCTCTGTAATTCAAATGAAATTTTAATTGAATCTGTAATTCAAAGAAAAGTAGTAGCTTCAACAAAAAACAAAACACAAACCCACGTGGAAAACCATTTATTTCATCTCTATTGTCTCCATGCAGAGCAGACCAATACAGATGAAGGGGGAAAATGCATAAGAGCAGCTGAAAAAATAGAGCTAGAAAATATGATTCTCTCTGCATTTCCAAAAGTGACAAATGTGGTGGAGTGATGCTCCATTTCCTCCCAAGGCTCTCCACCCTCAGCCCCAGGGGTGATGTAGTGGAAAACTAACAAAAGCCCCTCCCTCCTACAAGCCCTGTGCTACCTCCTACCAGGGTATCTTCCCAAGAACCGCAGACTGTCCAGGCCTGTGGTAGCAGCCAAGAAAAACAGCTCAGAAATTCTTTCTTCAGTGTCATCCACTTTGCATTCCTGAACACTGAGCACAAAACGCTGACTGTGGGTTTCAGTCTTGGCAAGGCTCAGTACTGATGCAACAACGCCAACTCATGGGTACTCACCTGGCAATGCCTCAACGTGAATGCCAGCCTCATTTTGAGAAAGACATCTTGGGAAACAGCAGGCACATCTTTCTGTGCAAACCTGCTTGCTACAGAACTTAGCTGCAGTACCTGGGCAGGGAAGAGGGGGGACACCTCAAAGCTAGAACTAGAGGGTTAGCATACTCCCCCAGTGCCTGCAGGCTAATCAGATCAATCCTCCTTCCAGGAAACCAGGAAGCGGATGCTACCTTCAGACTTCCTGACAATTGAATGATAGAGGGAGTAGTTGGCAAAGGAAGGCAACTTTGTAAAAAGAAATAAAAAAATTGCACTAAGCCTCCCTTCTTGTTGCAGAGAAACTAGGTACTGATGTAAGCCTGGGTTAAGGAAAGCTGAAAAAATTTTAGACAGCAGCTCCTGGGCAGAGAGAACTGCAAGCATGAGCTCTCCAGTGCTCTCTGAAAAGTAGGACAGGAGCTGTCATAAAAAAAGAACTGTGTCAACAGTTCAGGAATCTCTTAGGGAAGTAAATGCCTCTGCTCTGGGCAGCATACCTGCCTCATTGCTCTGACCCAGGTTGCCCTCTGAAGGGACAATCCCTCTTCATAAGGGCTCCTGTGCAGACTGGAGAGCTGTACGGATTTACAAAAGCTGTTTAAAAACAGAGCTGAGTTGGTGCAATTCACATTGTGGCACCTGTTTTGTGTCCAATGACTCCACTAGTTCTATTAGACATGTTTTTAAACAGATTTAAGCAAAGTGAGGATAAGCTCTGCAGAAGGGATGATCTAGTAATTGGGCACATCTCTCTGGCAACAAAACATCCCTGTGGAACGACGGCCTGGTCAGCCCCCTGAGCTGAGATGTGGGAAAGCACTAGAAATGTCATTTATTTTTATTGGTCTCGAATTGCCAAAAACTTTATCCCAAGCATCACACAACAGAAAACTCCTCTAAGCATGACTTATTGTCACCCTTTCATATCCCTTTCTCTCCTTACTTAGCACACAGCTTTTCTAGACTCATCTTTTAAAATCTTCTCACCAGCAGTTTCACCCTTCCCATTTCACCCTCCCTCCAGCATTCTTTGCTGCTGTGCCCCTTCCTGTAAAGGCTGTCAGTATTATTCCTTTTCCATTCATCCCCAACAGACTAACTCCACTGTGAGGTAAGAAGCCCAGAAATAGGCTACCATCTGTATTTTTGGCTATAGCATGCTCTTAAATAGTCTATGCTGAACAGAGAAAAAGCTAACTAGGAGTTATCAGCTGCTGACCAGGCTGTAGCGTTCAACTATTGCCCAAACTGCCCAGACCTCTGCCAGGACAGTCAAGGGCTGCTGTAGCATGCCAGGCAGGGCTAACACGCTACACCTCAAGAGAGCTCTGAAAAGTTGTGTGGGCAGATGGTGGGTGGGTTGGGTCTCAAGAGCTGGCTCAGAGCCATGTTCAGCTAATTGTTATGAGTGAGCTCAGTCGCAATAGCCACATGGCTTTCTTTTCAGATGTAGGTGAGCTGGTAATATGGCACTAGAAGACACATTTACTGATCATTTTTCAGATAAACAGGCTGTGCTGGCTATTGGAGTGGTTAGGGCTGAGGCAAGTAATCACCAAGCTGAGCCATTGCATTGTAGTGACCTATCCTAAAGTGCCTCAAGCTTTTGGCATGATTTCAAGATAAACAAATACAAAATAGACCAAAGAGGTGGGCTGCTGAGGCTAATACTACCTTTAGGAACAAGTGATGTCAATGAAAAGCCAGAAATCAAGTTGGAAGGGGTTCCTTCCCCTCTACCTCATAGCACCGTTAACTTCTCATGGGTAGGGAGTTCTGGCTAAAGCTGTTAGTTTATTGTTGCTTTGCCATCCCTGTTCTGCCTCCAGCCCTTAGAGTGGTAGGAGAAGTCCTTCTTCAGCAGCTACAGGAATCACCTCTTATTTTCACACAAGAGCTTGGGAGGTGCAGTTCCATCAGAATGAACCGAATGAAAAATTGTCCATTCACTGTGGAGCAGGTGTTCAGTTCATTTCTGCTCACTGTATCTTTTGTTCCATAAAAAAAGAAAAACAAACAAAAAAACCCAGAAGCCCTGATGTGTGGGTTTTAGCAGAACAGGGATAGGAGAGCCAGGGAATGAAGTCCTGCACACCCAGACCTCTTTCTCACCTGCTTCTCACACTAGCAGCCAGATCTGCACGCACACACGTAGGAAGTAACATTAGTGTTCCTTATTGCTTTGTAACAGCTCAGAGTCACTGTGGTGGCTCTGGGAGGCATCGTGAGGTCTGCGCAGAGGTCACTCAGTTGTGAGCGAGAGTAGCACCATGACTGTAATGCCTGTACACAGGAGCAGAATTTGCTGCAGGGAGTTCCTGGGAAAGAAACAGCAAAATTAGGAGGAGCCATAGACCAATCTCAACAGGCAGCAGTATAGAGGCTCACGAATGGTTTGTTCTTTGCCCTTCCACATCTACATGGAGAACGCAACAGCTGTATGAAGTTATTAACACAGCTGAGAAGACTCTTTCCAGCACCCCAAAGATGTTGTCTATAAACTGACATGTATTTGTTCCACTCAGCTGCAAGGCCCTGTTTCAGGTTTCAAAATCAATTTAAGCCAATTCAGTCTTGCAGCTACCCAGATATATATATTCCTGTCCTTCCTCTCATAAGAGAACCAGCACTTCTGCAGCACGTTCACAGATACTTTAGGGACCTCATCCAGCTAACAACTACGGTTACAAAAATGAAAAAAAAAAAAAAAAAAAAGAAAAAAGAGAAAAAAGCTGATGAATTTTGCCATTCTTTTAGCACCATCTCAGGTTTATGCTGGATTGACGTGCCTATGTACCTACTACCTCTGCATACTCTGCTGAGAGCTCTGCCAGCACAAGAGTTTACCAACCCAAAAGCTGGCTCCCACTGGTCATTAACATTTCTCCACCAGAAGTTCCTGCCTCCTCAGATATAACTGTGGAGCTGTTTTTTGAGCAGTTCCTTAACTGTTTCAGACAAAATTAACTAGGTGAGCCAAGGCCTCTTATTTAAACTACTGAAGTTACCTGTCTCATTACAACTGAAATAGGAGGGAACATTCAGGGACAGCTCTGCCAGCAGATCTGAGAGGGCCTTTACTGTGGTACAGCTGGATTTGGACCTGCCACAGCCTTAATTAGACCGCAATTCTAGAATCTAGAATAATACAGATATATACCAGTGTAGAAGAGAGATGACTAAGGTGGGATACAATAACAAGACTATGAAAGGCTGAATGATAAAGAGAAGAAAACTATTATTTTCTACTCAGCAACACAGCAACATCTAATCAAAAGTAATAAGCAAGAGGCTAACAAACAAATAATAAGCAGCATCATTTAACACAGTGCAGTCAAACTATGCAAACTTGCGGCCAGAGGGAGATTGCAGAAGCCCAAAGTAATGGATAGGGTCAAAAAGGGATGAAAGAAGCATGTGAAGGCTAGGTTCACGTGTGGTTATCAAATACACACCCAGCCCTCTATGGGGCCCTGGTTCAAACAGTCCCTGTATCACTACATGACAGAAGCTGACAAGACAGACTGGGGAATGGGTCACCTTACTGGACATGTTTCCAAGCAACCTGCTCTAGCTGGTCATGCTACATCCTGTGCTAGCACAATCTTTGGGACTGAACCAGTTGAAGATTCTCATGTTTTATAGGGTCTTTGTAGTCCCATAAACACAATAGCTAGCACAGCAGTCCATCTAGATTCCAGCCTTGCCCATTTGGAAAGCTGGCATTTGTGTGCTCCCAGAATAGGCATGGGGAAGGGTTATACCCCTGCTCCCTGGCAGCAAGATTTGCTGCAGCAAAACAGACGGGAGCACTTACCAAGGATTCTTTTCCTCCAGGAGATCAGGCACAACATTTACCAAGGCAATATACAGAAATCCTCCAGAAGTGAAAGGGAGGATCCAGGCCACTGTTTCCCCTGCACAAATACAGAAAGGTTTTGTTATTACTGAGACAAAGCCATGGGAGAGAACAGAGAAGGGAAAGAAGATACATACATGGGGATGATAGGGCCTCCCCCTACAGAGATCCTAGGGAGCCATACCTGCTCCTTTTGGTGACTGAGCACACATTGCAAAGCAGGCTCCTAGAATCCCCCCCAGAGCTGTGGAAAGCTGCATCTTGGCTGCACTCCAGCGGTCAAAGCCAGCCCGAAGTAGGATTGCAAAGTCTCCAACCTAAGAAAACCAAGACCTGACAGTTAATGAATATGAACGTTCTCAGTCACAAACGCCATCTGTAGCAACAGCAACGCTTCAAGACTGTTTCTAGTTTTCCATGTTGCCAGTCTCCCAGAGGGAGCAGCTTTCAAAGGGACAAGAAAACGTTAACCAGACCCAGCCTTCCTCTTAGTAGATGGAACACCCTTGTAATCCCTCATGATGGCAGGATACAAAGACCTCTCACCTCATGTGGGATTTCATGCAGGAGAATGGCCATTGTGGTTAGGAACCCAACCTGTAGCAGAGGAGAGAAGGTGATTAGGGAACAGTCCCCCAGCTCTGAGAGATGAGATTTTCATCAGCATGTCAAGTTAAGACTTGTTACTCAGAGTTTAGAACTATTCAACAAAAGGGTAGATGAGCTAACCCTTCCCTCTAATGCCAGTACAAATGACTAACACGTCCCAAGTTTGAAGAAGCTCTGTATCAGAGGGTGAGGATAGCGTTGCTTTTTACTGTAGTCTTTGTTTTCTCAGAAACTTCCAGAATATAGGAGGGAACTCCTATCAAGTTTTTTGCATGTTGTATCACACTTGAGAACAAGCCTCTCCAGTTCAGTACAGAGGTGGCGGACAGAAACCTTACCTTTCTGCTAACCAGGAAGCTGGCTGCTACTGCCAGGCCGTGTGTAAAGTTATCAATGGTGTTGGCCAGCAGATTGAGGTATCCACTAATCTGCAAAGAGAAGGAAGATCCCCTGATAAAGGAAGAGACATAACAAGATAAAAGAAAGCACACGGCTTAGACACAGGTTATAGTCATGATGAGATGGGAAAGGTCAGGGCATGGCACTTCTGGTGAAGATCTTGAACTATGTCAGTGCTGAAGTACAAATTAAATGTTATCTTCAGTTTTAGAGTAAACTAAATTTTAGGGCAGGCAAGTATTGTCCGAGATTAGGATAATCATCTTATGCAAATGACAAAGAGCTCTAGAAACAGAAAAAGAGAAAGGAAAAAGAAGAAAGTCAAAATGCAAGAATATATCTGATTCTAAATCGAACAAATTTTAGGTAACACTGAGTAACTCACACAGGTGACTGGATTCAAATATGACCTGACCTTGTTTTCTAGTCACGTACTTTAATATCAAACTGTTAAATATCTCCTCTTCAAAAGCTGGCAAGAACAATGCAACAGAACAAATGCTGCTGAAATTGCTTTTTATAACTAAAGAACTCTTCAAACATTGTACTAAAAAAGCTTGTGCTTGTGGGTTTGTTTCCCTTAACAAAGAATAAAAAGAGAAGATAGTGATGACAGTCACCAAAAAAACACCTACTAGAAGGCTGGATAGTACGTATATGCATTTGTATATAAGCACATTCCTTAAAATTATAAGCATAAAGCAGCTTCCTCCCTCACAAGTCCACCTGCATGTTAGTTGTCCCTATCACGCTAACTATGGTCATCTCCAGACAAATTCTGAGTATTTGACCTAAAGTGATTTATGAGGGTCTGCTCACAGGTTTTTGGGTTTTTTCCATCAGATTTAACAAAAACTACTGTGTGTGGGTCCTGAGATACTGCAGTTCACTATACAGCACTGCAGTTTGATTATCATCAAACCAGATGTTAGCCAATACATCAGGCTGTCTCTGGACTGCAAGAACTGAGCTAAAGCATCCAATGAGTGAAGAGTGTCTAGAAACTGCAAGGCATTAACCTCTTCCTTCACCATAGCATCAGGTACCAAAGCTCAGTTGGAAAAACACAAGTGCTGGTGCATTTCATGAGCCCTTTTTGGTCTTCTGCTCTTCTGTGTTTCTATCAAACTCTGCCTGGGGCATCTTTCCTTCCTGCCCTCTGTATGTCACAGCTCAGGTGGGGCTTTCTGTCAAGTCTCTCTCTTCAAAGCACCACCATTTTGCAGGGCACTTCTACTGCACAATCTCAGGACATCTTTATAGACTCTAACCTTTTAGAAGTGCATTGATGATTAAACATGAAAATAAAGAATTAAGCTAAACCTAACTACAGATCATGTTTAAGTAATAATCTAAGTAACATCTCCACAATGGATACAGAAGTAGTTCCCTGCATGTTTCTGTAAGAAGGGGAAGACAAAGGAATGTATGCAGCAGACACATGAACACAGCTGTTTTACTTCTCATTCTTCATTTTTAGTCAAATATGACTGTCTAAAAATTTCTCCTTTTCATGTTGGGATTTTATGTGATTGCGTTTTCCCCACAGGCTAATAATAATTATTCACTAAGTTTTATACAAAAATGCTTTCCCATACCACTGTCTAAGGAAAAAATAGACTTCATGATTAAAACATTATGACTTTTTCTTGTCAGTGGCTTGAGCAAAAGCTGTCACTGAAAGCAGCAAAGCCTTCAAGTGCTCAGAAATAAATTGGGTTGATTTGACAGTAGTGAGCCTCTGACATTTACATTCTGCGAATTCCTAATAGGATGTTCTCGTTGCTCATAAAGAGCACAGCCAGACGAAGTGTTTATGTTCATGCTTCAGAATTAATGTCACTGTGCAATAAAACATACCTCTACAAATCAGCAAGGATCCCATGTGCCACAGGGACAAAAGAAAGAATAAGCAAGGCAAAAGTACTCTACAATGTTTTAACTTGTTGAGGAAATAAAGACTGCAATGCAGGACAGAACTGATCTATGTTTGGGTGCAAAGGAAGCCTCCCACCTGCAGTTTTCAAGCTAGGACAAATTATTACAGCAGTAGCTAAGGAGCAGAAGTTCTAATACATATGGACAAAGGACGACAGATTACAGCTCATTCAGCCCCAAAAGGTGACTTTAATAGCATCTTTCTCTTTTTGTTTTCTGAAAAAAAATGGAGGTTACTGAGTGAATAGTAGAATCAAAGAAGTCTGGCTTGCTACAGCTTTCTCTCTTTTCTTTGCAAGCACCTACTTTGCTCACTTCTAGCAACACTGTTTCCCTGCATGTCCCTTCCCTACCCTGCACTGCACGACAGCCACTTCCCCACCAGGTAGGGGCAGTGGACTGAGACTTACCTGCTGATCTGCCAACCAGGCAGACCTGCAAAGCAGCATGCAGCATCTCAGTTCTGCCAGTTTTTCAATATTCCTGCTCTACCGCCATGCTGATTTTTATGGAACTTGCAGAAATCTGATTACCCTCAAGACTTCTATCCTCTCTTGAACTCAAGTAAAATTAATTACGGGTTCAAAAGTTATTGAAAATGAAGGGCAGAACAGATGGACAGACAGATGGAATGACTGCTTATATTGTTGCCTAAGGAAACAGGCTAACAACACAGGAACATCTTGGTAGTTTTGATAATTTCCCCACCAGAAAGACTATTAAAATGTTCAGATTATATGTTCGGAAGGAGAAAGTTAAAACCACATGCATTAACTCATTAGTTTCTATTTCATGCATATTGACAACACATCAGTTGTGTAAGACTGAATAGATACGTTAGGATTTTAAAGCTAGAAGGGCTCTCCATGGTTGTCTGAACTTCTACGTAACACGATGGAAAATCTCATTGAGGTTTCTGCATGAAACCCGTTGTTTCTTATGCTATAGTGTACTTTGCAGAAAGCATCTTAATTCACAGCTTAAAGCCCACAAAGAATCTACTATGTCTCTAAGATAAGTTGGTCCACTGGCAAGTTACCCTCAGTTACAGAGTTGTCTTTGATTTCTAGTCTGCTACCGTTTGGTATAGCTTTAACAATTCAAATTCAGTCGCCTCTTAACACGGGGATTTGTATACTCTAAGTCATTCCTGATCTGTCACATCTACAGAGCTAAAGACTAAAGAAAACCACTTTGTATAACATACTGCAAATCTAAAAATAATTATTTCGGCTCTTTCCTGACCCCTTTACAAATTACCAGTAGTATTTTGGATATTGTGAAGAACACTACTGGAAAAAAATCAGATAGCTGTTTCATTATTGCTATACAGAAAGAGGAACACTTGCCTCTTCTCTTACATACTATTTCCTACTCACTCATCCTCCTGGCTGTAGCATCATAATGGAAAAACATGTTCAAACAATTTCCTGCTGTGATTATCACACTTCTTTCCAAGGCACTGACTTCCTAGAAACTGCCCCTATCTTGTAAATATGATCTGCATTCTTTCTTATTCTATTCCTTAATATTTGCATGCATTGAAACATGTTAGAAATTCAGCTGTTTTGATGAAGTTACTCAGTTTAACCAGTATCACAGAGCTCGTGCAGTCACAATGTGCCATTTAAGTAATATAGTAATATCTGCAAATGTGATGACACACTGTTTTTATAAATAATCACTCAGAAAAATCATAAACCACCAGTGAACAGATTTAAGGGGGGCTGATTAATCCAGTCCCTGTTAATAATATACAATAACTGATTTTTAATACAGCTAACATTTGCAAAGTTGATTTCATGCAGCACTAGTTTCATTAGAATGTGGAAGAAAGTTATGTTTTATATACATTTGCCAGTGTCATTACCTTTATCAAACAATCTCATGACCAAATGGCAGGGAAAAAATGGTTGACAAGAATTTATCTGCCATAAGATCATACCAATTAGCATTTATTACATTATTATTTTTTACATTAGAACAAGGCCCAATTGTGTCCCACCAGTGTCTCATTTCTACTTGAAATCAGTGGTAGACTAACCATCCTCTAAGTCTGTAGCTCCTTATATAAACCCTTCTAAAATAATGGCACAATGTTTTATAATCCAGTAATATTGGTTTCTTCACCACTATTACCTCTAGAAACATCAATGTGGCACCTTGCAGTTTGTGCAGTGTTCTGTACAGATTACATGAATGCAACAGATATCGAAAATACCCAGTGACCTCAGCATATCTTTCACGTTGTGTAGTAAGAGCTATAAAGTCACAGCAAAAGAGATTTAAAATAAATAGAAAGACTGAAGAGCCCCTGACTGACCACATATCCAGGTTTGGACTAGTTCATGCAATCACGCTTTCTGTTCATAGTTACTCTCCTATAATCTTGCACATTTTTATAGGCTTTTAAACTCAAATTATAGGTCCTCCTTTGCCAAAGCAGTCCTCTACTCTCTTGCTTGTAATGTTCACCCAGACAGGGGCTTCTGCAGTGCAAAGATAGTAACATAAAACTGAAACCAAAGTCAATCTAAAGGTTAGCCACTGCCCAATGGTACAGTACTCCTTTTCCCTCCTCCACCTCCAATCCTAAACCCTTGCTGAGCTTCCTTATCCCAGCACTACAGGCTGCCTGTCTACATGCCAAGCTGATTCAAGAAGTTAAGAGAGAAATAAATCAGGGGGGGGACGGGGGACGGGGAACAAACCCCTTCCCCCCCCCCACCAATTCTTTGCCTGTTTAGCTCCCTGCATAGGCTCACTGTGGGGTCAGATGATGTCCAGTGCAAATGCAAAGGAAGTGAGAGAAATACAGGTCTGGAGGCAGAAGTGGACAAGAAGCCCTTTTTGGCAGCAAACTGCTACATCTGAGAAACTGAACTTGTAAGTTTTACAGTGGATAGCTTCAACTGTCAAAACGCTTCCAAAAGGTGCCTTGAAAGGAAACGTGCCGCTCACAATTAGTACAATGCAAGCACTAGAGAAAAGAGAAATCACGGCACAAAAATTTAAGCAAATAAAGATATAATCACTATAAGATCTCTGCTTCTTCTGCATGAGCTGCAGTGCAGATTTTCTCCAAGTCCACTATTTGCTCCCTGCTGTGACCTGGACAGACACTTTGACAGAGCAAAATTAAGCACAACTCACTCAAGCACAGTTCTTTCCACAGACAACTCATCCTCCTGACTGAATTTTAAAATACGTGCCCTGAAAACAAGATGGTCAGTTTGTGGGTGTCTTACCTTGATTCTGTTGTTTGTTGGACAAGACCGGAGAGAGGAGCCATTACACTGAGTTGAATCTGTTCCTGCTCTTTGGGATTGGCCTGCCATCTTCAGCAGGGGGTAGCCACTTCCATTGGGAATCTTTCCAGCTGGTGCTTTGGAATCACAGCCCTAAATTAGGGGAAAACACCTTGTCACTGCCTTTTTGACAGTGATGAATAAGCATGAATCCTGGTCAGAAATCCAATCTTCACCCTTAATCCTTTTGTTCTTACAATACAAATCAGCAGCTTTGGTACCCCGGCTTAATAGTGACAACTGCCCGAAACGAGACAGATTTCAGAGAGCATTGTGACATCTGCACTGTAAGACAACAAGAACAAAGACTTCCCCGATCACCAAGAGAAGGAAAGTAGAGAGAGGAGGAACTGGAGTCATGCCCTCTTGGCATGAGCCAGGTTCCACCGGAAAGATGAGGGACTGAGCCAGTCACTCCTGCTGGCAGCTGCTGCCCAGAGAAATACAACTCTATCTGGGCAGGGGATGGGGGAAAAAGAGTCTTGCTCTCCCTAGTGCATCAGAATAACTAAGTCTAGATAATTATTCTATAGCTGAGATTGTCAACTTCCAGACAACACAATGTTCATCTCAGACTTCAGTCTCTCTGTAAATGAGATTAAGTTCCTTTCAGACTTCAAAGTCTCATGCTGAGTCAAAGTAACACCTAATTGCTCTTACACAGTGCCTGACCTGCAGTTTCACCTCTCAAAAGTCATGACACGGCAAGGACTGAACAGTCTATAGGAGCTGCTGCTAGGCATTATGCAGATGTCTGAGGACTAGCTGCTCTCTGCTATTTTGGAATAACCTTCTGGTACCTCTGTCTATTTTGCCCCTTTGCACCTGGGTGACTCTCCTCTGAACCATTACTTAGTATTACCTGGCCAACCATAAACCCCTATTTACCATACAGTTACTCGAAAAATCATCTGGTACAGGCCATGCCCAAGAAGAGAGAACACGTTCCAGAGAAGGTTGGTCTTTGTCCTGAGGACCCAGAAGGGGAGTGAGTCATGATGGCTCAGTGGAACATGCATCAGCAAGCTGTCATCCCTCAAAGCTTACTTGAGCAAAAGTCTCATCTGCAGAGTGCTCCAGCTCCCAGTCCCCCTAGAAGGGGAGCAATCTTTTACACATACCACATCAAGAACAAAACCAGCCCAGAGGTGAGAAATCTCAGCTAAACCCACAAAACACCGAGATGAAACACCTTCTTCTAGGGCCCAGTGTCAAAGAAGTGTCAAAAAGCTCCCAAAGGGCATTGACAGCTCCAGGATCATTTGCTGAGCCTGTCAGATAAGGCAGATGACGTGTTTAGTACAGCGCTCCAAACATCACAGCACTCCCTCCCCTCTGGCTGCTAACTTACCACACCAGGGCACTCCTTCTCTTCTTTCTCTAGGAAGATCTTTTCTAGCACCAGGAAGGTCAGGAAACCAATGATCACCCAGAGACCCAGAAGCTTTTGCTGCTGAAAGCTCTGCCCTTCTCCTGAGGAAAAAGAGAAATCTTCATGTCACTATCAAGTACACAGTGTTTCCCCATATGTGAACCCACCTTTCCCCAAACGGTATAACCAGCAGTTCCAAGACAAAAAAACCCAAGAAATGACAATGGAAACACCTCCTACGAGGCATAAGGACCAAACATATCTCATTAACTTGCTCATTCTTGATCTAAAAGATATTCTCATCTCAGGACACTCAGAGCGAGAGCCCCCACCCCTTTTGCTTCAACAGTGCAATCCAGAATATTTCCTGACAAGACTGGGAATTTCCCTGAGCTCCAGAGGCAAGTGCAAATTACATCAACAAAAATCCTGCAGCTGTATCTACTGAGCAGCAAGCCCTGACCTGAAATCTGACATTAGTGGAGCCACAGACTCATTTTCCCCTTTCTGCCACACCTGGGCAGGTTATTAAGCCCAAAGCTATATACTTTCTTTTCAATTACAGCCAAGCTTGTGAGATAATAATCCATTCAGCCTGGCTGCAGAAATAGAGATTGCATTGCAGTGGAAGAACAGAATGACTCTGTAATGGGGCTTACATGGGTCAAGGAAACCTTTATGCTCCAGGACAGTCTGACAGAAGCAAACAAGCTAGAGCAGGAAGACAGAGGCATTTGGGAACCACTGTAGAAATGGGGGGAAAAAAAGACAGCAGGTTCTGCTGGCAATGCTAGGGCCATGAGGAAGATGAGGCCCAAAGGCCCAGCAGATCTGAAATCCCAGGACATAGGTCCAAGGAAGTCTGGGAAATCCAGGGCATCCTTTTCCCTCTCTCACATTTTCAGCGGGTAAATGATTTCTTGGTTTCTCAACAGGTGGAATGCAGCAGCACTTGCCTTCCATGCTATCAGTTTGCTGAAGCAGAGATACAATCACTACAGGTTTCAACAACCCTAGCTATCTGAGCCATAAAGGAGATACAAGGATAACACAAGCTCTATCCCAACCCAAACAGTGTTTCATTTGCTGGCGAACATAGGTTTCTGTCACTGGCACTTCTTTCTTCTCCCCCTGACCTCTCCTCCATCTTACTCATGCATCTGTGGACAATTTTCCATGACTTCTCCTTGAAGAAAGATTGAGAGGGCAACACATTTGGGCTCCCATAGATCGAAGTACCCAGCAGAGGGGCCCCGGTTAGTCCCAAGAAAGAGGCTCTAGGAGTAACACTGTTATAGGGACAGATTTATAGACCATCTCTGATGGGGTAGAATCCCCACCTGAGATGGCACACATGTTCACATACCAGACCACACACACATTCATAACTTCCCATCAGGTTAAAGAAGCATTCCCTTTCCTTACAGAAAGGACAAAGGAAAATCAGCAGAGATTTATAGGAGTCCAAGGCGAGATAGGAAGAGCTGATAGACAAGAAATGCATTGCAAGTTACTAAACATAAAGAAACCACGGCCAACTCAGGAAGCCTTCAATCTCAAAATCTCTGGACGACTACAGAGTACAAAGATGAAGCATAACGTGTTTTTATTGTTCTTATATCCTTCCTTAAGCATTTGCTTTTACACATTATTTGAAAGAGAATACCAGCCTAGACCAGTTTTTGGGCTGACCCAGCCTGGCTGGTCTTGTGTTTTCAAGATGGAATAGACTCAAAAATGTATCAGTAGTCATAGCATGGATTGCTTGCACATAAGGTTTTCATACCTGTTGTTGCACTGCATGTGTAGGCCCAGGCTTCAGGAAGCAGGTGCAGAAACACATTCCCCAGTAGTCCACCAATTGCAAAACTCAACAACTGCTTCAAACGGTGTGATCCAGCTAAAAAAAGTAACAAAAACTGATCACAACTCAGCCAGAAGCCAAAACATCTCCAGCTGAGATTTTGCACAGAGACCTAAATCAGAAGCATCTGCAAAGCAAGCTTTCAAAGAAGAGAGCACTAAATAAATAGCTGGAGTGCAAGAAAAAGCCCTTGCACCACTTGGCTGGGCAGTGTGTGGGAGGGTCCTGGACCAAGCAGGGTGCAAAACAAACAATGCTCTTTTGTACAAGCTCCATCCAGGGCTTGCATTTGTCCAAGGACTCCCTATCAGACTGGCAGGCATGGACTAAAGCACCAGAAATGGGCTGTCTATTTTAGAGTACAGTGTTTCTGTGACAAGGTCCTGTTCATCACTATGCCGTTCAGACACAACCCAGGACTTTTGGCTTCAGAAAGGCTAATGCAGGTAGCAGGCTTACCTTCTGACCGCAGAGCAGCTCCCGTCTCAAACGGGATCACCAGCAAGGGGAAGACCCCACTCAGGCCCACCATGAACGAACCGATGAGGGAACAGATCCAGGCATCCAGCCGCTCGCTGCTGAAAAGGCTTCCCCAGGACTCTGCCTCCTTCTCACACAGAGGACCAGAACTAGCAGCAACATGACTCCTCAGGAGCTGCTGAGCTTCACAGGCCACAATCAGAAACAAGGAGAGTGTCCCATCAAGCAGAAGCTTTTGTTTTGTCATCGCTAAGTGGTCTCAGCTGGGCTGGCCAATCTCTGGAAAGAGCAGGGGAGAACAGTTCTGAGACCGTGCCCAAGATACCCACCCACCATCCCCTCCCTCAGCATCTTAGCACAGGAATGCATCCCCATAAGGAACATCTGAAACTCTTCCTGATTTCAATACAGCAGTCAAGGACAGAAAGGCTGTTTATCATCGGGTGTATGAAACTGCACACGAGACGTCTTGTGAAAGAGTCCGGCTTTCAGCATCTCCCCTCAGGTGGGCTGGACAAGGACACCAAGTACCCTTGTCCTTGCCCTTCAGTGTCCCGAGGCTTCAGAGAAAGGTGTTGACCAGAGACGCTACCCAGATAAGCCTTCTCTTTGCCATGGAGCAGTATCCATGTAACAAATTAGGATGCAAGACAGGCAACATAACAGAGGTCTGTAAAATCATGACTGGTGTAAAGATGGTGAACAGGGGTAGATTATTCACCATCTCTTCAGGCATAAGTGCTAACAGCCATCACATGAAGCCAGTGAGGGTCAGCTTCAAAACAAAACAAATATGATTCTTCATCAGCAGGTAACTTGTGTGGTAGTACTTCTCCAAAAATGATGGAAAATTTTACAACAAAAGACAGGACAAGCACTAGAAAGACAAGTCTATTGATATCTGAAAGGAGCTGGAGGCTGGAAGAGTAGTTGGAAAAATACCATATATACTTGTCCTATTTTTCTTCTTTCCTAGAAAGATAGTGGGTTAGATGGTCTCTTAGTCAAAATCAGCACAGCTGATACTAAGAACTCTTCAGTAACAAGCAAACTGGAGAGAAGCAGGCATATTAGAAGAGGAAAAGAAAGGCAATTACCCTCTCATTGGCAAACAGGAAAGGAAAGCAAATGATGCAAAAGCTGAAGTAGAAATACACCTGCAGTCTCCAGGGGAAAAAGTGAAACGTGACAAGCAAAATTAATTTGGAAATAGGAGAAAAGAGCAGGTTAGAAAAGAATGGCTTACAAATATTCACAAAACATCTGTGGACTGAGACGGAATAATGGCATTCACCTGAAAGCATGTAAGAAACTAGTCAACATAATTTCTGAAGCATTAGTGACCATCTTTGAAAATTTACAAGAATGTAGGAAGGCCACAGAAGGCTGGAGAAGCATCATGCCTCACCTACCTTTTTATAAAGGGAAAAAAAAAGGTGGGAGAAGACTTAAGTTACAGACCAGTAACTTCAATCTTCTGAAAGATTCTTGATCAAGTTAAATGATCAGTTTGTAGTTACCTATAAGAAAGCGATAAAGATAGCAAAGCATTAAGTAACAGCCAGACAGAAAGGGGCCTCAAATTATCAAGACAAAATTCAGGGTGTTGGAACCAATCTAAGGGCTCACTGCAGCTGAAAAGGTCTGTGTTGCCTCTTGTTCCCCCAACCCCCGATGAAGCATTCCCTCCCCATGCTCCCACCTGACTCCAGGAGTGAGCAGGGTCAGAACAAACTAGCAGGAAAAACTATTTTTTTTTAACAGCTTGGCCCTTTTCCAACATCAGTCCCTGAACTAAATCACAGCAGGAGGAAGGCCCAGCTGCAGTGAGCAATCAAAAAGAAGATTAAAGGACAGGGTCCCACAGCTGCCGTGAAGAACACTGAGCTCCAAGCACAGTGACCACAGACATCAGGAGCAGGGAGGATGCAAGAAGGAACCAATGAAGACACTGGCTTGGCTAGCTGTGCAAAAACCACTGAAATTTTTTGTGGCCACATAATGCCTGATCAAGTGTAAACTCTACTGACCCATACAAAACCCATCACTTCTTTTGACAAGAAAAAAAAAAAAATCCCTCAACAAGTTCAAACCAGCGTAGGATTTTGTCATCTTACTGCAGTGCTTTGATCTGGCTGCAGGAACCCTGCCTGGGGTCCTGCCTGGACCTACCTATTGCACACTATCAAACTAATCTCTGTAAAGATCAGTACAAAACCGTATACTAAAGGGAAAAAAGAAAAAAATGGACATGACAAAACAGTAACTTTGATGTGCCACCACATAGACACATTACATTGATTAGGAAATTAATTCCAAGCCATCAGGTTTATATTGCTACAAAGTAGGCAAATGATATCTACATATTAGTAGCTACATCGTAGGTGTGACACAGAAGCAGTGATTCCAGTCCACTCCGCACACATGTGACTTGAGCCAACAGACCGCACCCAACTTCACATGCTCTTCTTTATAAAACAGATGCAAAAATCAGACATGGCAGTGGAAATAAACAAAGATTTAGAGTGTAGAAAGCGTGACCTGGAAAAAATAACTGAAGGACCTGGGTGTGTTTAGTCTTAAAAAGATAACGCTGAAGGGAACAGCGCACTTGGCATATATTAAAAGTCACAAGAAAGGGGGAAAGTGCTCAACTCTTCCACATCGTAGCATCAGCTCAAATGGTAAACAAGATTCAGTCTGGATATGAAGAAACAAATTTACCTAGTGCCTAAGTGGTGACATAATGAAACAGGTTATCTATGATGCAGAATCTCCAGCACTGTTTGGTTAGTTGGTTTTTTTCTTTTGAGAAAACAAATAAACACCTGATGCAGATGTTATTTCATTGCAATGACTAGATCCCTTCTTGAAGTCCCTCACATGTAGTTCGATTTAAGCTGGTGAGATCCTTGTTCTACTGGTAGAACCCCACAAAAGGGGCAGGTGTTCCGCTGTAAATCGCTATTGGCACAACCACTTCAAAACAATAGGGCTGGGGGGGTGGCAGCAAAGGACATTTTCATCTCTCACAGCACTCTGTGCACCAATTCAACTCAGGCCCTGAAGTGAAGAGGTGCTGGGCTGATGCTCGGAGGAGAGCCTGATGTGCCAGAGATGCAGCCCTCTGCACAGCTCCACCACTCAAACCTACCTAGGATGCTGCCAGGCCCTCTGGCTCCCCTCACTGGGATTCAGCCTCCCCCAACAGCTATGCAAACAGACGTACACAACTATGGTAAAACTATGCTACAGAATCCCCCAAATTTCTCCTTGGAAAAAGAAGAATTAAAAACCACAAAAAGATAGGAAGTTCTTGAAATGAACCATCAGCCACGGAGGCACCTGCACAGGGAGGTGACAGGACTCTTCAGGCAGATTGTACCAGCCACAGCCTTCTCTCTGCTTACTAGCTGCTGCATAACAACCTGCAGTTAGAGAATTTCCTGCTTTAAAAAAAGATGAGCACCCCTTTTGACCCCAGAGAGAGCCTGACGGATGTCCTCTTCCCTTATGACAGGATTAGACCTAGAAAATGACTGAGAACAGCTTCTTTGCAAGGAACAGAGCAAAAAAAAAAAAAAAATCAGGATTTATACAACCACCGTACGCCTATGAAGAGGCAACAAACACAGCAAAAAGATTGCTCTGCAGCTCGGCAATGACGGGAAGCGGCACAAACTGGCCTCTTCTGCGATGTTGTCATCACAGCTTTTGAGAGTCAGTCTGGAAAAGTAATCACTGTGTCTGATCAACAGGTCCATTACTTCCATCTCGTTCTCCACACTCACAGCCCACATCTGCTCCATGGGACACTTGAAAGGGTCTTTGAGACCAAGTGACCAAAATCCTGGAGAGAGGCAGTAGGACACAGGACAAAGGGCACGTCCAGGGCTCTGAAAACAGGCTGCATACCTGGCTTCATGTCCTTCTTCCAGCAGCAAAAGGGACCAGGTTCCACTAAAAAGGGATGGTGGTGGACAACAAATGGGCATAAAGGGGTAGAAAACTGATTCCCCTAACTCCCATTTGTGTCAGTCAACTGACCTGTGGCCCACAGGTCTGTCTTCTTACTCACACAAGGGAAAAACAGTCCATTTCTTTACACCTGTGCTGCCTGACTTCAGTACCTTGTGGCTCAAAAACATCCCCATATCTCATGCAATAAATTCTTGATGCTTATAAAACATCTACGAGGAACTTGGTGCATCATCCAGGACACACCTGAACTGATCTTTGTGCCCAGCTAATTATTTAAATCATAGTCCCAGTATTTGCTTCTTCCTCACATATTGTAACCACTTGCTCTAAAAAATGCACTTTTTATCTCTATAGCCCCTTTGCTTCTCTATCTCATTAGTACACGCTCCTCGTGAGACATTGTTTACTTAACATTTGTAAAGTCTCTAAATTCAAACTGGCTGCTCCTAAGACAAATATTTAAGAGGAAGAAAAGGAGCAGGCAAGATGTAGCCCTAAGAAAAAAAAAAAAAGCTCAAGACAAAATAATACCCTGCCACTACAGTTGCAGAGGGTAGAAGTCTTTACCTACCCCTAATTTTAGACAACAGCATCTGTTTTAGGAACCCAGCTAGAGAAGATCTTGAGGAATTTCTAGAGAAAGCACCTGAAGGTTTTCAGAGAAGTCTGTGGTCACTATGAGGCAGAGGCATAACCAGGTTTATAGAGATGTGTTTTTCTCAAGCAGGGAATATGACCTATTTAAGAACATGCATGGGACAGAAATAGCCAGTGCATCATTTATTTGTCAGTTTTGACAATGACATTGTTTGCGGTCACAGCTCCCAGCCATGCCGGATCACAACCTGGTCATCACTACCACTGGCAGCACTTTCCAGAGAACCACACGTCCCGTGCAGGTCTCTGAGCCGAGCATTCAGCAGTCAGGTCTGCTCAGCTCCTTCCGCAACACCCTCAGGACTGGAATAACCATGAGGTCTCCCCAGCTCAGGAAGAAAAAAAGAATGAGAATTTGCCACTTATACACCCCTGAGCCAGGGCACGGGGAGGCTGCACACCAAGCTCCTGCCCTCCTCCCAGGAGGCTCCCAGGGCCTCCCCCCCTCACAGCGCTCACTGAGCACCTCTGTAGCAGGCAGTGCCTGAGAAAACACAGAGAAAACTTCAAATGCCAAGGCAAAAACCCATTGGAAAAAGAGAAAATAAAATATTGACACGACAACGATTCCTGCAGCAACTCGCCTCCTCCCCTCCTAGACACTCTGCC